CAAGAACGGGGATAGCCGGGAAGAGGCATTAATCGCACTATTGTGGGCAAACTCCGCCCAGGGTAGCAGATCAGACCAGTTGTTCTGGTGGTCAGAAATGTAGCAACGCAGAAACTGTTCCAGTGTTTGGTTAGCTCGTTCCGCTGCACCATTGGATTGCGGGTGGTAGGCAGAGGAGAAGGAGAGCTGAATTCCCATTTGTGTACAAAAAGCTCTCCAAAATCTGGACACAAACTGGCTACCCCTATCTGAGATTATCACTTTGGGTAACCCAAGCAAACGAAAGACCTCCCGAGCAAAAATTGTTGCAAGTTCCTGAGAAGTTGGTAGCTTTTTCAAGGGAATGCAATGCGACATCTTTGAGAATCGATCAACAACCATGAGAACGACTGTATTGCCACGGGAGACCGGAAGATCTACGATAAAATCCATGGACAGGTGGGTCCAGGGTCGTTCACCATTAGGTATGGTTTGCAGGAGACCCACTGGAGGGTGTCGTGGGGTTTTATTTTGAGCGCATACAGGACAGGCAGCTACAAAAGCAGTGACATCCGAACGGAGACTAGGCCACCAAAATTGCCGAGAGATGGACCAGATTAATTGGTTTTTGCCTGGATGTCCAGCTGCTTTGGAGTTGTGATAAGTACTTAATAATTTAGTACGGAGATGGATAGGTACAAAACAACGGCCATTAGGTTTCTCTGGAGGAGCATTACTTTGTGCAGCCAGAATCTCCTCGCCTAGGTGTGAGGTGAGGCTAGTACGGATGGTGGCCAGTATATGATCCGGAGGAATCACAGGAGTAGGGGTTATCTCCTCTCTAGATGGAGGGGAGAACTGTCGAGACAAGGCATCAGCCTGAATGTTTTTAGTACCGGGCAAGTAAGAAACCACATAATTGAATCTTGATAGGAAAAGAGCCCATCTAGCTTTCCTGGGGGAAAGTCGCTTAGCTTCGGAAAGATATGTCAGATTCTTGTGGTCTGTGAGGATGAGAATTGGTACTGAAGTACCCTCAAGAAGGTGCCTCCATTCTTTGAGAGCTAATATTATGGCTAGAAGTTCTCTATCACCAATCTGGTAATTGCATTCCACCGGGTTTAATTTCTTCGAGAAATACCCGCACGGATGCCTGGAGCTCTCTGGGTTAGGACGTTGAGACAGGAGGGCGCCTACTCCTGTCTCAGACGCATCGACTTCAAGAATGAATGGTAAGGCAGGGTTAGGGTGTGCCAGTATAGGAGCAGCAGCAAAGGCGACTTTGAGAGACTCAAAGGCAGAAATGGCTTCCTGTGACCAATGCTGTGGATCAGCATCTCTCCTGGTCATATCCGTGAGCGGTTTAACCAAGGAGGAAAAGTTGCGTATGAACTTCTGATAATAATTGGCGAAGCCAAGAAAACGCTGTATAGAGCGAAGACCCGTAGGTCGAGGCCATTTTAGTACAGCAGAAAGTTTTTCTGGGTCCATAGAGAATCCAGTATCAGAGATAACATAGCCCAAGAATGTGACCTGTTTGCAATTGAACTCACATTTCTCCAATTTACAGAACAGATTATTTTCTCTAAGTC